GATGGCTGCCACCATAGCCAGGTAAGTACCCCTGGCGCTCCTCCCCCTTCCTTCCTTCTTCCTCCCTCGTGTCCTTCTCCTTCCTCCCCAGCAGCTCTGCTCCAGCATAGCGCTGCTCCAACCACGCTCCGCCAGTGTGTCGCCAAACTTGCACATCGAAAAAGAGTCCGGACTCTCCGCCCGACCGGAAGATATGGTGGTTTGCTTTGCCTCTTGGGCGGTGACTTCCAGGCCGCTCGGCCTTCCAAGCAACCGGTACCTCCTCCCTTTCGGAGGGAAACATCATTGCAGACTTTGATATTGCTCGTACATGCCCTAGACCTAGACTGGTTGGACTGGTATCCACGTAGACCTAACCTACAACTATTGGGCCTCTAAAAATGCCACTTTTGTCTTTTTCTGCTCGGCCTCCTGTACCCGCACATCTACCCCTTTAGGGTGCGGTACCGGCCTACCGGCCTACCGGCCTACCTCCTGTTGCAATCCCTCAATGTCAGGGCCACAGGTAAGTATTGGCCCTGAGGGCCCAATGAATGAGCAAGTGCCCTTGCGGGCCACACGCACACTCAAGCCAACCAGCACTCAGACAGGCATGACCACACACACACTCAAACCAACCAGCACCTTGACACACATGCAGTCTAGCAAGCGTGCACACACAGACTTAGTAGCAAGCGGGAAACTTAGCACGACATTCAGTCTATGGGCATAACTCAGAAATCAGCTATGTGTTTCAGTTCATGTTTGGACGGGTCATCACACTACTCCCCCCTTGAGAGCGAGGTCCCTTCGAGCGAGTAACTCGTTCTGAGTCCTCGACAAACGCATCGTAAGCAAGCAAGGCAAAGAGGTTCCTAGAGTACTCTGATGCAGTGAGTCTTGGAGAGATCTTAGGTACATCGTTAGTGGCGATTTGTCGCTCGTAGGCTTTGACAACGCGTGGTGCGCTGTGTAGCAGTTCCTGTTTGGAGATCCAGTACAAATCGTTTAATAGGTGATACATGAAGTGAACTTGGTACTGCCTGTTGCGTCCCTTCCCTACGTGCTGTTTGATTCTATCTATCTCATGCCCGCCTTTGAGCGCACGAGGGAT